ATATTCTTTCTTGATCATAAACATTTAATTATTTCCCTTACCTTCTCTCCCCCCCACCTTCCCCCCCCGGAAGTTCATATGTAGTGTGAATTTTTTTTTCTGGAAAAGTTTGCAAAGGATTTGGACTTCAACTCCACCCTCATGTCCCACCCTTCAACCCATTTTCATTAAGTGTTCCACTCAACAGACTAGTGTTTGGAAAAGTAAGAGGAATAATCAAAACCTACAGGTGACATAGACCAAGAATAGAGTCATATTCAACTCGGTGCATATGAGAAATATACAGACCTGTTGTAACCTTTATGTGATTTAGTTGAGAGTAGTGATTGGCCAAGATCTGACCAACCAGAGGAAGACAAGAGATATTTTTAAAAATTTTCTACACTCTATCCCAATGCCTTTGGCGACCTGTCTTTGTATTATTGCTAGGCAGTAACTCCCAGGTGAGTAGCATGAATTGTTTTCTCCCCCCCTCTTCCTACCCTCCCCAACGCTGTGATATTTTGTTTTCTAAATATTTGGTAAGGATCATAGACTTAGAATTGGGAGGTACCTTATAGGTTGTCAAATCCACCCCTGTCTTTTATAGATGAGGAAAACTGAAGACCAGACAGATTACAGTGACTCACTAGTTAAGTATTTAAGGGGCGATTAAACACGCAGATCTTCCCGACTCCTAGTCTAAAACCCTACAAGCTGTACCATACCCCTATTACCCTACTAAGTTATGAAGACACATGGCAGGCAAGCTATCTGAATCTCCTAGCTCTGCCTCAGTGTCCTAAAGTTCTCTTGCCTTGCCTGGCTGAGAATGTAGAGAATCAATGGAAATACACTACCTAAGAAATTGACAAATGACCTTACCTACAACAGGGAGCACAGAGAAGGAATGTATGAATGAAAAGAAAAAAACAACTGATTAATGATTTACTATGTGCAAAGGGACACACCTATTTGGACTTCTTGGACTGAATACAGATATGCCCATCTTAATGAAACAAAACAAAACCTCAAAACATTTAAGCCCATTGTAATAGAACAAATGGTTTAGGGGGCCATGATGATTTGTGTCACAAAGGCATCACCTGCTTCATGTAAGGATCTCATCACAAAATCATCTATTCTAGTGCATTTTCATGTTTGTTCACTATTAAGCATTTGACAGTATGTCTCGAAAGGACAGAAAAAATTAATGCTGAACTGTTAGGTTCTACTATAAATTGAAGATCAATCAGAATTATGGGTGTAAGTGGGAAAACAGGATTCAATTTACAAAATAAACAAACAAAAACCTCTGATCTACATTCAATTTTGCTTGTAGATATCTTCTGAGTGAGATGTAGTAATGCAAATAATTTAGCAATCAGACAAAATGATTCTATACAACTGTGGCAGACTAGGATGTGACTGAAAGACTCTTATTCATTACAATTCACTGAGGGACAGGTACCTGATCCAGAGGTAAATACTAGCTCTGCTAAACAGAAGCTGAAGGAGGGAATCTCTTGGTAGATCGGATTTCACTGGCAATCATATGATGCAGTTCCAGTAAGGTCCTCCATGGAAAACACTCCCATGCTTACTCTGTCCTTAGGCAAGATGACTACTTGTCACATATACAGCCTAAGGTTTTCCTTTTTCAGGTATGGACTAGAGCAGACTGCTGAAGAGGCCCTTTCAACTCCCAAATTCTATGATTCCACTGATTGCTGACCTAGGGAAGAACCTATGGTGATTAGAGAGTTGGTGTGTGATAGGGGAAAGAACAATGGACTTGGGAGTATGAAGACCTTGGTTAAAGTCCTGGCTTTAATATTAGCTGTGTAATCCTGGGGAAGCCACTTGACCATTCTGATCCTCAATTTCCTCATCTGTAAAATGGGGATAACCATATTTGCACTAGTGGACAGGGTTGCAGTCTCTGTAAACTTCAAGTACTATAGAAATGTGAGCTATGGTTATTATTAAAAGTAGCACTCGCTAATACACTGGTGACAAGCAGGCGATACTCATACAGCTTTTAAAATGGCATCAGTCTGACAACTGCCATTCACCCTTACAAACTGGCTCTAAAAGCTGTCTTTCCTCTAGCACTTATCTCTTTCCTAAGACAATGCAATTGGCCACATCAATCCCGCCTTGGTGGCACAATCTGAAGCAAGGAGGCTCAAATGATTGTTTTCACGGAAGGTGAACACAGCTCTTCTATTTCCAAGGTAGATGGGATCACTGGGTTATTCCACTTGATCTGTTTCCACAGGTGCTTCCAATCTACCACTTCCTTCCCCTCCCAAGTCAGTTAGAAGACTGTATTCCCTGGGATTACCGTAGGTCTCTCTGGCTTCCTGCTGCCAGCTTTAGAATGTATGGGCAAAGTACAGACTCACAGAATTATGGAGTTGTGAGGCATTGCAGAGTTTAAGGGCAGCTCATTCCCACCCAAAGTGTATATCCTATCCACAACATCTCCAATCCATTTTCTGCTCTGAGGGCTACCTGTGACAGGAAACTCTGCTGCTACCAATACGTCCATTCCGTTTTTGGAGAGCTTTAATTGTTAAGCTCTCCCCTGCACTGAGCCAAAATCTGCCTCTCCTGGGTCCTGGTTTTGCTCCCTCGAGTCAAGCAGAGCCCCTCTTCATATGAAGTAAACTGGTTGGGTCACCTCATTAAAAGTCATGGGCTTTGGTTTCTTCATGATGTGCGTAGACACATTGTCTTTTGTGGGCATGGGGATAGTTTTGGAATTCCCTCCCTTCCCCCCATCAAGTACGCTTAAAGCCCACTTATTAGGTAATTTCAACATTTTCTAGTGTACACTTTAATATCAGAGATGGTGTTTATCAAGTGAGATAATGTATGTAGAGTGCTTTGCCAGCCCCAAAGCACTAGCTAAATGCTGCCTGTTGTTGTTATCAATTAGATGTTGATGTAGAAATGAAAATGACTGAGTTACTGAAGTTTGAGGGATGAGTGGGTTAGGTGGCAGAGTGGAGGGTAATTCTTCAATAGGGGAGGTCTCATGAAATAGTTAGTGCTAACCAATTTCAGAATCTCTCAGTTCTAAGATGGATTATTTCAGAGCTATATACCTATGCTAGACATTTAAAACTCATGGAATCACTGATTATGATTAATTTTAAGTGCTTAACTACGCAGGGCCAGAGGAGCAAGTCTAAAACTATGCTACCAAACTGAGCTAGTTTGGAATTGAGATGATAAAATCAGATCCCCTTGGCTTCTGGCAACCATGTCTTTACCATCATTGCATACCCTGGGTGGTTGAAGGTGGTTAAGAAGAGTGGATTTCTTGCTTTTCTTAGTGCTGCATGGGACTGACTGGGAATTCGAGGTGTCACACCCTTAAGGTTTTCAGAGCACTACCCACATACTAGCCCTTTGAGTCAGGTAGCAAAATTATTATTATCTCCACTCTATAGGGGAGGAAACTGAAGTTTACAGAGGTTGTGACCTGCCCACAGTCATATAACTAGAAAGTATTGGAACCTGGACTCAAAACTAGATCATCTATCACTGAATCCAATGATCTTTTCATTCTGCTACTTTGCCTCTCATCAAATTTCAAAAGTCTCACAGCATCCGTATCTCCCTTTTATTTCCCATGATCCTTCCCTGATTCATCTCCTTTGCTAATAATGTGGCTAGGCCTTTTTCAACTCATCTCTGTCTGCAGGGCAGGGTTCAGGTTGGGTGTGTGAGTAGAGCCGGGATTTTCTCTTTCTCTTTCTTCCCTCAAGTACAAAGGTGACTTCTTCATGCATTCATTCATTCCTTCATCTGAGAGTCAGAGATACATATTCTTCAGTTTCTGAATCATTCATTTTAAGGAAAGGATAAAATAAATCTCTAATACACCCCCTCTCTCCTGGGTGAAATGATACCATCAGAATAATTTAGAAACATAGGACACTGGAAGTAGAAAGGAGTTTAGGGACCTTCTACCCCATCCTCCTCATTTCATAGATGGGGAAACTGAGGTTCATCGAGATAGGGAAACTGAGACTGAGATGAGGTGTCTTGCCCAAGGTCACATGGTTGGCTGACGACAAATAGAGCATTCTTTAGTCATGCAGCACCCTCTTCTCTATTTCCAAAGAGAAGTATAGCTTTCCGTGGCTACCATCCAAATCTCACATTTGCCCGATGACACCAGCTAATAGACAGAACTTCCAGGCTGTGGGGCACAGAGGACTTTCCCCACTGCTTTGTAATCAGGCTGCCTTTTTCATGCCAGTTGGAAACTTTAGGGGACTAGCTCTAGAGCACTTTGATTAGCAACGGGGTTTTTTCCCCCCAGGCAGGTTGGGTGGAGATTGTGGGTGGTGATCCTAGTGGGGACCTCCTACAGCCTTTGTTTTCCACGGTCCTTTAGGGTCAATGCATAAAGTTAGGATTTAAATTAGGAAATCTCAGCAACAATGACTGGACTTTTTGTTTGGTTGGTTTTTTTTTTTTTTGGTCTCAGAGCACAGCCACAAGATCTCTTCGGAGATTAGCACCTGCCCTCTGCCCAGAGGTCCCTTTCAGATCTGGGGTGAAATTCGAAGTGGCCCTCCTTCCCAACCTTGCCCCTACCAAACCTGTTACCCATCCTTTCTGCTCACATATGCTCTGAAAGGCTCTCGGTGTGTACCGTGCAAGGTTCTTGCCCAGCCACGGTCCATCTGTTTCAACCAGCAACAAATATGGCATTTTCGGAGCTCCCTGGGAGCAACGGCTCTATTGTGACTTAATTAGGAGGAACCCCAGTTTGTGGGAGGTGAGAAATCACACTTTGCTGCCTGCAACTCTTTGACCGAGACAACCCAGAGGGCTTTACCCCTTTTCAATTTTAATAGCATTGCAGCAAGGGGCACAGAAATGTGTGCGCGCACACACACACACACACACACACACACACACACACACTCACACAGAGACACAGACACAAACATGTTCACATAGACACACAGGAAGAACAAATCACAAAATCAACTCACAGGATCTCCAAATCACGCAGGGCTCTGAAGGCTCCATCTTCGATGCAGCTGATACGGTTATTGTCCAGTTGCCTGCAGAAAATGAAGGGGAGAGCATGAAGGCTGAGGAGGGGAGAACTGGGGGCTGCCCGGAAGCGCAGGGGGCCCAGCGTCCCCTGGCCACTGGTGTGTCCCTCTACCCCTTTGCAGTCTGTGCTCGGCACCAGAGAGGAGGTTTGCTCACTGCCTGCCACGCTGCTCGGTCTCTCCACACTGACTGTCTGAAAGAACTGCACAGACGAGCACACCAAAGGCTGTCAGGTCTCAGTAAATATTAATTGCGCATTTTTTTTTTTTAAGGCAGAAGGGAGTAATTTCATTACATTAGGGCATCCAATCCATTACGAGCTCTTACTGTCATGTCACTGAAACAATTTCATTAAGCTAAAGGCCTGTAAATCATTGGAGGTCACTGCTCTGCCCTCTGCGACCTCCCAGAATGCCTCTTTTCTCTCGCTCTCTCCCTCTCTCTCTTTTCCCTTTTACTGGAAGTTGCAGTCCTCTGTCCTGACACAGTGCTAAATCTCAGGGCTTTATCTGCCCAAGAGCTGCAAGGGTGCATGGGGAATATACCAATTCCAAATTAGACTCAACTAATCTAATTTTATAGTCTTTTTATTATTCTAAGCACCAAATGTCTGTGGTGGTTCGATGCCTCTCTGCATTGTTACTGGTCCCATCTGGTAGGTCATTCTATTGAAACATTTCTGACTAAATACAGATTCCCACAAACTGCACCAACCATCATCAGCATTAAAGAAATCCATTGAGAGAAGCACTGGGGGGGGGGGGGCGGGAAGCATTATAGTTACTGCCTTAAAGAAAGATGGACACTTCATTTTAAATTGGGAAGGATTAAATGCACCTATCTGGTACCTCCTTTCTTCCCTTTCCACCCTGCATCCCCGCTATCCAGTGAGCATTTTACTTATGTCTTAGGAATAGACGTTTTCACTAGTTTCACATTTTTAGTACGAACTGAAGACTTCAGAATTTTAGTTGGAATCAGATTATTTCGGGAACCTTTTGGCAAATAACATATTTAAAAACAAAACACATGTAGAACCTTCCTAATGTGTATCTGTGTATGTATATAGGCATATATAGTATGTATGCCTGGGAATTAAAAATATATATATACATATATAACCAATTTGATCTCGGAAGGAAAAAAATATGCTAAATTTGCAATTGACAGATTTTCTCTTTAACTTTACACTGGTGAATCCTATAACAATCTTCCCAGTAACCAACTATAAGAAGCACAACACTATCAGAAAACTTAAAGATAAACCGTTTTTCTTTTTTAAATATCAGGAAAAACGCCTCTCCACCCAGGGAGTTCCTATCACAAGAATTATAATTTGTATGGTGTATTACACTTTACAGAGACAATCTGATCTCCCTTAAAGAAAAGGGTAAGGATATATTAGACGATCTTCATGAAATCTGCCCAAATTTCTTAGAAGAATGATGCTGTCACAGTAAAAAGGTTGTTGGACAATATATAAAGTATACGTGTGTGTATCTATGCACATGTATAAAGCGTACCCGATTACATACCCAATAGAGATATGGTATGAAACGGTCTGCCGTGATATTGTGGGAAATTGCATCACTTTAGTAAAAGTTCATAAACAAGACTGAGGCATCTTAATTTTTTAACAAAACAGGAAGTTAGCATCTCACTAGGCAAAAGTACTCTTTAAGTTTGCGAGTTCAATGTATGGTAATGATTTTAAGCTGCTTCTGGGATTTTATCCCCGGAGGACTCATACTCTAAGCCATGCCTGTTTGGCCTTTCTTGAAGCACTTCTTCATACTAGCACAACACATCCTATGAGCTATTCTGCTATTGTTGGGGTTCCTCATTCCCCTCTAATGTCTCATGTAAGCAACTCATCATGATATTCCAGATTTATCGATATTTCAAGGGTTTATGTATCAATGCTAGTTGATGCTAGAGTTACCATTCCTCTCTGGTGTCCCATATAAGCAACTGAATATGATCTCCAATATTTCAAGGACTTATGAATCGACACTAGTCTGATCTCCTCACTCTCCAACCACCCCAACCCCCAAGCCCAAGACAAGGCCACCAAGCCTTAACCAAGAAGAAATACAATGCAATTGACTTACAACTCCAAGGAGATGTTCACGGAACCTGCTGAATTAGGCAAAATCCTACAGTCCTACCTAAGCAGCATGACATTTAAGTAATCAGATTGGATTCTAGGACAGTGGCCAGAGATCAGCAAGCTCTCAGTCTTCAATTTCTGCCGAAAGATCAAAAGGGTCTGTGTTGGTTGTGTATTATTGATCAGTCATATTTCCAAACCATTTTAGTTGACTTTCCAAGAATGTCAGGGAAAAGAGCAAGGAACTTTAAATGTGAGGCATTTAACATTATACAACCAGAATTCAGAGGGAAAGAAAGAATAAAAGAAAAATGGCAATGGGGAAGTGGATGTAAAAGGAGAAAAAAAAATTGCTAGAGGAAAGAAGAGACAATGCCAGCCTACCTAAGTCCTGCTGTACTCTGACATTCAACCTCCCACAGCGTTTGACGTCCTTATAGGGTACCATGCATTCTAGAAGCAACATTTATTACAAATAGTTTGGCCACCTTAAGGCAAATCGGTACGTCTAATATATCATGTCAGTTACGTGATGTTTTAAAATTTTCACTTGACGGTGCCAGTTGACAGGTAGTTGTTTAACCATAAGGAAAGGGAACTAGGTTTGACATCTAAATATAATTGTCTAGGTCTGCTTTATGTAGTAGCTATTTAAAAACATATATGAAAACTACCAGAATTTGAAATGCGGATGTTTGAATGGGTTTCATTTTCATTCTTCACTTGTGAGGATGCAGTCCTGTTTATTTTCACTGGCATGGTCGTCTGTTCACTATAACAATGCTCTAAGCCCAAGCAGCAGACTTTACAGCGACTACAATATGTGCTAGTCAAAAAGCCACACTCAAGTCACACTATTTATTATATCAGTCTCTAGTCAGATCTTTGAGAAGTCACAAACCTGAATGAAAACGGAAATTTTCAGCCAATCACTGATACCAATTTGTCTACGCAGTGCCAAACATAAAGCCAGATTTTTCCATTTTTCCACAATATTTCAGAGTCAAAGAACACTCCCAGTAATTAGCTTAGTAGATGAGATGGTCTCAATAATAAAAACAAAGTAAATAAATATTTGGTTAAAAAATGTCACCAGAATAACTTTTATATAAAAAATATATAGCAATTAGAGGCACAAAAACTATTTTTACATTATCATGGGCCACTGGCAGCAACATGAACCCAAAACTCATGCTTTTCTGACTGTGAAGGAGCAGGACACCTGGAAATAAATTATTATAATCTTGTCATTAGAATACATAAACCCATAAAGCTTTGGGAGCCGGTATGATGGCATCTGTCTCGGAGGTCTACTTCTGTGGGATAACTTAACTTGAGCCTGCTGATGGATATTACAAGTTCCCATGTCAAAGGTCTATTTCACACCTTTGAAAGAATTTGTTCTAAGCTACTCTTTTAAAGTAAACAAAAAGACCCACACCTCTCAGTTAAATACAGATTTCATTCCAGAGACTCTGCAGCCCACTGGGGGTCCCATTCCTGGGACACACAAAGGTTATTGTTTCTACTTTCCCTTGGGCCACAAGAAGTCAGTTTTCCAGTGCTAATAAAATATATTCCCAAATACCTGTATGAAATAAAGACCTCTGGAAATATCAAAGCACAGACTCAGAAAATGTCAGACCTGGATTCAGGTCTGACAATCCAATAACTTGTGGAGGGATAGAACTAAAGCACATCCCCATTAGTCCTGGAGAGGAAGCCCCATGCTTTGGGAAGGAGGTTTGGAAGGGAAAATCTGACTGCTTATGGCCTGAGGAAGAGGTATGCTGGAGGTTAAATACGAAACATCCTTAGTTGAGGCTAAAATAACACTGCCTGTGTTCTCCTCCGGCATGGTACAGTGCACTGGATTTCAACTTCACGCATTTGCTCAGAACTCTTCTGCCAAGGTGAGTGGGGCAGTCCTGGAATTTGTCTGATTAAATTACCTGCTTTGATTTACTTGGGAGCTCCTGGGATCACAGATTTCTGCAGCTGGAATTCACTATTAAGAAGTGAAAAAGGTAGCAGACGAACCCAGAGACAAGAATAGCTTTCCGGCTGCGATGATGCTCTGGGAAAGCACCAAAGTCGATCGGGCAAGTGTCCGAAGGCTAATGTAAGAAGGTAAAATTACTCCTTAAAACAACAAACAGATGGAATTTTTGTAAGAACTCCCATTGTAAGCACAATATGCCATCCTATTATTACTTTGGACAATTGATCCAAATTTCCATTTTCACGCTAAAAATGGACCACAAAATTTCTTAGTGGTTTAAACTTTGGGTAAATATTTCAAAACGTAAGTTAAAAAAACACCCAGGAACTAAGCATAACACTAACTAGTAAGATTCAAGGTTCAGGGGACTCAGCCCCAAGAAAAGAATGTATTTTCATTCCTCTTATCTTCATTATAAGAAACACCACATTCTATCCCTTGCTTCCTCTTTTCTCCACTAGGGCATTGGGAATCTATTTTTGAAAACAGAACATCCAAAGATTACCCAATCTGAATGAAAAGTGGAAAACTGAGTCTGTTTACTCTCTGGAATTCATGATTAAATTGTTCACCTTTCAAAATAAGAGCCTATATATCTATACATATATACATATGGCTATTGTTTTAGGATACATTCCCCCTCCTTAAGTGCTATCCCTTTTGTATATTATTAGAGTGCTTTGGACCAAATTAGCAGACGCTTTCTGCTCTAAGACTGCGGGTGGCTAAGATAGCCAGCATCACTGCAATGTTTTCCCACCAAACGGATTATTTTCCAAATTCTTTGGGGTGGGCCACCAATTTCTCTTAGTTAGCCTGTACTTAGAAATTTGACAGAAATGTTCTTCTGCCTTAAAATGTGAAGGGAATTAATTCCCAAGTCAAAACATGTC